CGTATACATTGGATGGAGAGAAAGAAGGCTTTGTGGCCGCATGTGTGTGTGTGTGTGCAAATTCCAAGGAATTTGTGATTGAGAGGTGGAAAAGTCTTCAACAGTACTATTGCCCGTCACCTTATTGATACTTGACATGAAATCGATATTGAGAATCCTTCGAAATAATCAATAAACAGATGAATTCGAATTTATTGCGATTCGCTGAATCCCCAGTCATTAAACGATTTAAACCAGACTGATGTATTCACAAAAAGAAACAGTTATCAGTTTGTGCTCTACCATGGTAAAGACTTTTGTTCCCTTGACAACCATCATGCCTTTTTACTTATCGATTCATGTCGATTCTTTAAAGTCACCCTCTGTGTATTGACAAACTGAACTCTGCATATTCATTCACTAAATTATTGCGTTTTTAATTATGCCATATGTTTAGTTGAAGGCGACAAACTGATTGAAGTATGCGAACACTTACAGATCAATTGATGTTGAAATTGTTTTATGTTGTAATCACAGCTGATGAGAAACTGCGAAACAAAATGGAATCATGCTATTCTCCGAAGGCTATTGTTTTTGCTTGATTTATGCATAAATATATGATTACGAATGAATCACAATGCTTGAAGTAGCTCTAAGACATGAGATTTTGTGCAGTAAATTTCACGTGAAAAATTAGAACACCCTAACCCATTTTGAAGCACAACATTCGCCTGCATTCCTAATCTATTTTTCTACATACAATGAAATGCTTAGACCATGAAACAGTGTACACCGGATAGGCTTCGTATGCAATCAGAGTTAGGAAAATAAAAAAACACCGAAACGCCTCAGTTCGACCCCTTAAAGATCCAGTACAGTTGAAAAAAGCTTGAGAACACACTTCAACCGTAGCTATGCACATTATAATCTCAGATCACAAGATTAAAACTATTCAGAAAGGCATAAGAAATTATAAAGAACACCTCATAATAGATTTTTTTCACAAAGCGTGGAGTCAAAATTGTCTAAATAGGAATGAGGGTAGAAAATGTGCCTGGGTCTGGTTTCAACCTGCTTCCACATGTTGGTATAACTAACACGCACACACACACACACATACAATGAGAGTCACAATACCCACATTTGATAATTGAAATGACATTCACATGTAACTAGATGCTGACCCTCATACCTCTAAAATGGGGGAACCAATAGGTCACTTAATATGATAAATATTGATAATACATTTTTATATTCTTTTGAAAAGCAGAAATTTAAGCGATCTTTATTTAACCTGTGACCCTTCTTTACTGATACTCATGAGTTAATGTGTATGCAGAAAATCAAATGGAACGAATTCTATTCACAGGTTTGAATTCATGCTAACCATAACCACGGATTGGAAGGTACCTATAGATTGGAAAAACCGATATCTTATCAAACTTCCAAAGAAGGGAGATTTAAGTTTTTCCATGAATTGGTGAGGAATCTTACTCCTGTCTACCCCTAGAAAACAAAATATTAAGCCGCATCATCCTACAGAGATTGAAAAACACTCTGGATTTAAAACTACGACCGGAACAAGCTGGCTGGCTTCAGGAAGTACAAATTATGTGTGGATCAAATTGCAACGCTAAGCTATACTTCATCATAGAACAGAGTATAGAATGCTAGTCAACTCTTCACCTTAACTTCATGGATTCTGAAAAGGTCTTCGACAGCGTCGACCGAGAAGTAACTCGGAAACTGCTTCAACACAACGGAGTACCACAAACCTTTATCAACCTCATTCAACAACTATATACTATATAATGCTACATGCCGAGTGATTCATAACGGAAAGCTCGGTGATACGTTTGAAATGAAGACAGGAGTAAGACAAGGTTGCCAACTGTCATCACTGATGATCTTCCTGATTGTGATGTACTGGATCATGCAACAAACTGTGAGAAGAGAGAAGATAGACATGGGCTGGCTGAACCGTTGAAAATATCTCAGAAGAAGATGTGGATTTCACCAATGATGATTTATGTCTAATGTCTTGTCACACAAACTCGAAGATCTACAGGCGAAAGCTAACAAGTTGGCAGAAGGGGCGATGCAGTGAAGGAAGACGGGACTGCAGGTGAAGGTAGAGAAGACAGAGTTGATGAAGATACTCAACCAAGAGAAACAGCAGCAGCAACAGGAGAAATGTAAAGGAAGTTGTCTCTTTCACCTACCACCTAGGCAAGGCAGCATCGTCTCAACTACAGGTGGCGGTGGCGGTGGCGGTGGCGGCGTAGGTGAGAATGTCAAAACCAGCATCGTAAGGATAGCATGACAGGTCTTCATTAATCTGAAATAATCAATGTGGAGATCTACTGCACTGCACTGAACTCCATTGTACTCAGTATAAAGCGTGAACGACATCCGGATTTTCAACAGTAATATAAGTCAAGTCACTGCTTCTATACTATGTAGTTGAGAGAGTTGGAGATTTACGTAAAGTTTTTCCAACAAACTGCAGACAGGCATGAACAGCTGCCACCTACACTCACTCGATACTGACTATGAAGATGGAGATGAGATGGTGAAAATATTAAGAACGGGGAAGAAGGAGCTCTGACTGGTTGGCAACGAGGCAACCAACCAAAAACCTATCGCCCAACAGATATACAGTAGAAGAAAGTGGAGATGGATTGGACATACACTGAGAAGGTGGATTGAGGACATCACGCGGCAGGTGAGGTCGTCGAGTGGAACCCAAAGAGGAGACGACAAGTTGGGCCTCCTAGCTGAGGGTGACATGGAGGAGATTGTGTGAAGAAGAAATGAACTCTTGTGGGTAGTGGTGTAGCCAGGTTAGCAATACTGGAGAGAAGAGAGTGAAATAGTGACGTGCTAATGAAGCCCTATGTTCCACCAGGAACCCAAAGGAAAAACAATAACATTAGTACTAAAATCACAGACTGAAGTGAAGCATATCTCGCAGGTACAGCAAACAAATTTGTTGTTAAACAACATCTGACACTACGAGTTTCTTTCGATAAGCACTATAGGCGAAGATGAGAAGAATCTGAAGTTCACAAAAGTGGTTTTAATGTTTAAATGTACAATCCTAAGGAAACTTTCAAGGTCACCCTAACTATTGCTAAATTAGCCAATCAGATTCCTGTATTCAGTGGAAAAAATCAAGATGAAGAAATGTAATGGATTACTTTCTTAATTGCTAGAGCTGTCTTTAGAGCCCTATCAATCCTTAAGATTGATACAACATGCCAAATAGGAGGTTTAAGGGGACAATACAACCACTGCGGTCAGAATCTAATGATCCACATTGCCCTACAAACATGGTGTTATCAGCATTTAATGCCATCAGCGAGTATTTGTCTTTGCATGCATTTTGTTTGACCCCACAGTTATCGACTTCTCAACAGAACTTTGAGAAATCCAACTCGAGAGTTTCAGGGGACTGACTGCATTTCACCAAGAACAGACGTCGAATAGAGAAACATTGGCAACCTGGGAGCACTGTATAGCCGTTTTGTCCTAGTATGGGACTCCTCATTAGTGTCCGTGCATGATGATCAAACTAACGTGAAATCAATTAGTCACCATAAAAAAACCCCTAAACTGGTGACTGGCTTCAAGAGGGGATTCCTGAAGTTCTAATGAAGAATCGTAACCGATGATGACATTGGATGACGACTATGCAATGTCGTCAACTGACAGAAGCTGAAAATGTGAACCACTAAATTCTGTAACACGCTGGCCGCGGAACCCAAAACTCTGGATTCCATCTCTGGCCGGGTCGTGGATGCGCTGCCGAGGATTCCCATATTAGGACGAAACAACTGTTTATTGCTCCCAGGGTTCAAGTCGTTTCTTCTACTGATGTCAGTCCAAGATGAATACCAACTTGTAGTCCAGAAATCCCCGCACAAGTCCACATATTGAGTATATTTATGCAGTCATATGACTGATAAGACACCATTACAAACACCTGCTCTGATCAGGTGATAAACTGGTTTAGATGATCGATCATATGATTAACTTGAGATATATTAAATCAGGGAGTAACAGTATAAATGTAATTATCCACGACAGTACGAAAATGGTAGTCAAGGCAACCGATAAGACTGCCTATTTGACTATTTCCTTGGTTGCTAGAATAATCTTTTGAGTTATTCATCTAAAGTTGCCTTCTGCAACAGTCCCTTAATTGCAGTGATATCAAACAATGGGCATTTTGTAAATATGTCAAGGCGGTTACCTTCTGATAGCCTGTTTAGTTACTCTTACAGCTTACTTTGTTGTTGCCTTAGTTTATGCAGCTTGACGAGGAAGTGGAATGCGTAATAACGGTATTAACTAATGGACTGGACAGCAAGCTGATTGGTTAATTTATCCCCTGCTCTTTGATTGGTCCCTCCTAGATCTGTTTAGATCTCCATTCGGTTGACTATTATAATTTATATTCTGTGTGTGGGTTAAACTCCTCTTTTTCCTACTCATCAATAAAAGCTGTAAGAAAGTTGTGAAAGTAACCGAAGACGGCGATGAAGTCATCGATATGCCCTTCTGATGTATGCTGAAATTCAAAACTTTGATGAGGAATTTTTCCTTATGCTTATTCACACTCATCGACAAAGCATGATGAATGCAAGACTCCTCAGGTTTCTCTGATGAGCCTTTAGCTAGGACGAAATCATCGCACTATTAACATTAGAAACTGAACAGCTATCTGGCTCTAGTAAGGCTCCCTTCAATATTGTGCACCTGTTACCCTGCCAAGGATCGAACCCTGCGACTCTGGGTTTTATGGAGCTACTGCGTCGGATTTCAATGGCCTACATTTTGTTACTTCTCTCAATTCACGAGATTTTCTCTAAACATTCAACAGTTTTACTAAACAGTCATCATCACTTTGAATATAAAATCTGATAAATCGAATTATCTGTACTATATATATATGTCCTGTTTTCTTCAATCAATTATTGATTCCTTTTATTGATATCTATCTGTCTATTCTTCTTCAGTCTATCAGTGATTCATTACAATATCAAAGAGAAGAATTTGATATATTGAATCCAATTGAAAATATTGCACCACCAGCTATTCCAACAAAAATGTCATCTGATCCAAATCAACCAATCTATGTGAATCATTCACTACAAACAACAAATATGCTGGATAACAAAAATACTGAGGTATGCATCATAAGCATGAAATTTTTTTTTCTCTTTTCAAAATTCAAATTCAACGGCCTTTTTCTTATATATATATATATATATATATATATATATATATGAATGGGATTACCTGATTGGCTGATTATATATACATAATCAGCCAATCAGGTAATCCCATTCTAATATCCAATACTTGATTGATAATTTAAAATACCTAGAAAAAATCAATACTCACAGAAATATCGATTAGTATAATTTTCTATATATATACAGATGACAAATTGATTAATTTAAATTGGGATTATATATACTATAAGTAATATATAGCAGGTTATGCATAAATTGTGCATTCCTTTGTAAAAAAAAAGAGTGGTAGCAAATTATTTAAATGTACTGAAGGTGTCTAGGCGTAGAACTTGAGTATTGTGATAAATTGTTAGTTACATTTCAGTATGTTTATTATTAGAAATGTCATATACAATGAAGGAACAGTATCATTTATTGGATAATGATATTTTGGACACAATTTATTGTCCCATAGTCATATCAGGTTAGGTAATTCACAACTACATAACTGTGATTTAAAAATATGATGAAAGTTGGACTGCTAGATTAAAGAAAACAATACGGAGGTTTAGAGAATAATGACGTCTATAGGAAACTTTCCCATTCGAATAGCTACTTAGATTTCATATCATCCCACCCCATCTATGTTAAACTAGGCTTAGTTACATACCTAAGTGATAGGGCACAGAAAGCTTAGCAGTAGGTCAGAAAATCTATAACAAAAAATTAGACAAATCGAGAAAACCCCGCGACTCAACAATTACCCACCTAAAGTTATCAATAAATTCATAAGAAATCGAAAGAAAAATATTAACAGTAGTAGTAGTGCGAGTAGTAGTGGTAGTAGTGTGAGTAGCGTGAGTAGTAGTGTGAGTAGTAGTGTGAGTAGCGTGAGTAGTAGTAGTGGTAGTAGTGTGAGTAGCGTGAGTAGTAGTAGTAGTAGTAGTAGTAGTAGTAGTAGTAGTAGTAGTAGTAGTAGTAGTAGTAGTAGTAGCAGTAGTAGTAGTAGTAGCAGTAGTAGTAGTAGCAGTAGTAGTAGTAGTAGTAGCAGTAGTAGTAGTAGTAGTAGCAGTAGTAGTAGTAGTAGTAGTAGTAGTAGTAGTAGTAGTAGTAGTAGTAGTAGTACCAATAGTAATGCAGGTATTATCAATAATAATTCTACTGCTAATAGTAATAATGATGACAGGGTTAAGAGAGAATTCAAAGACTCTGCTGTGTTACCCTTCAAGGAAGGCATGCCAGAAGCATTACGAAGAATTCTTAATAAGGTTGGCTGGCATTACACTGGGTGCTATTTAGGCCAAGAAACGCATTTAGAAACAATCTTTGTAGGTTAAAAGACCCCATTGATACAATGCAGCAAAATAATCTGGTTCACTTAATGACTAGATCAAGATTAGTAGATCCTAAGTAGATAAGAAATTTTGAAAGGAGCTTGGTTGTAGCTCTCCACCCAATTAGACATAATCCCACAGTAGGATGAGATGAACCGAAAGTATAAAAAACTAACTCCCATATTAGATTTGTTCATGTGATTTATCACATACAGTGTGATACAGTATTATTCACTCGATAATGTTTCAGCCATAAATTATTATTGCTCATGATCATATCGAATGTGTAATCATATCACTTTCGACATCTGATTTGCCTACTCCTATCACCTGAGATTCTTTGCTTTTCCATATCTCTGGCATGTCTGGGTGTTGCGTCATTCCTATTCCACATGTGTTGGGTGTTGGTTGATTCGAGGAACAAAGATTCAGTAATCAATCCCCATCTCTCTCCACCTAATTATATTGGACGCCACCCACCCTATTGCGAGATTACTGATCCTATCGAGGTCGGTTATTCTATGTTTACCTAGACTCCTATGTTCGGCTATTCTAACTGACCCCGACCGGCTAGCTTCACCTATGTACTTAACCTCACAGTCATTACACGGAATTTGATAGGTCAGATTATTTTGCTGAAATGGTTCTATCAGATCCTTAAGCCATCCGACAAAGCTTATCTCTGAGTGAGTTTGTAGGTTTAAATACCACCTTAATTCCAGCTTTGTATCCCCTACACTGTAGGGGATAACTATTATCTACAGGGGCTTCTTCTATGTGCTTCACTTCCTTGTTTAGGTCCTTGCACTGAGTAGTCAGTTTTCTAGCTCTATCATTTAGACATTTGATGAAACCTGCTTTAACTGACTGAGATTGGATGAGATGACCTGAAGTCTAGACACCTGTTGGGATGTGTCAGTTTTCTGTAGACGGCAGTATCCAAACCACCGCCTGTCTTTTGTTTCATCGTGTAATCCAACATAGGCTATTCTCCTTGTTCATTTTCTACCTCATAAGAGAATTGGATCGTACTTACAACGGAGTTTACATCCGTAAGCCAGTTGTAGATATGTCCCGATTTCAAGTAAATAACACTATATCACTGTGTGTTATAAATCAATTAAATAAACCGAATATGGAATTAAATTTTACCTCAGGGCCCACGTTTTACACTTATATTAAAAAAAACTAACTTAGATGGGTGGAGGGAGGGAGAGATTGATAACTGACCCAATCTTTGTTTTGAGGGAGTTGTGGAGATTTGGAATTATTTCAAGTTGTTATTCATCGTAGACTGACATCAGTTGGAGGAACAAAGGAAACCTGGGAGCACTGGACAGCTGTTTCGTCCAACTAGTTTGGGACTACTCAGCAGTGCGCACCCACGACCCCACTAGCAGGGATCGAACCCGCGACCTTCAGGTGACTAGTTTTGAGAAGTATTCTCGAAGGTCGAATGACAAGTCGTGACCGGTGGAGTCAAAGCCTGATGGCCATGAGGACAAATACTCAGCGATGACATTGGGTGGCGGTTGCGCTATATATCGTGAGCTAACAGAAGTTGGAAATATGGAGCATTGGATTCTGACCCAGTGGCTCAATGGTAACGAGCCGGCCGCGGAACCCGAAGGTCGCTGGTTCGGCCCCTGCTGGTGGGATCGTGGGTGCGCACTGCTGAGGAGTCCCATACTAGGACGAAACAGTTGTCCAGTGCTCCCAGGATTCCTTTGTTCCTCCAACTGATGTCAGTCTACGATGAATAACAACTTGCAATCTTTGTTTATCGAATCAACACACACGGAATACATGCAGTAACAGAAATGATTGTACACCTGTTCCAGTTATGTAGAAAATCTTACTACACTTGTCATCCATCACAGAGAAGGAGAGAAGATTAGGACAATATAACCTGTGTCTGGAAGTTGTTGAGTCACTTGTTAAGAATATGGACAATAAATTGTGTCCGAAACGTGGTTATCGAGTGAATCATACTGTTCCTTCACTATGTGTGACACATCTAATAAGCAGATCCAATTGAAATTACTTAAGGTGCAAAATGAATTCTGAAATTTGTGTACACAAAGGATTTCGTAATAATGCTCCCTAGATAAAAGAAATAATCCTGTTTGTATCGATCTGTTTGTGGATAAAATGATGATTTCAAGTTGGTAGGGGTGGGTGGTTAGTGGTAAATAATTACCTAATAGTCGTTAAAGTGTTGACCTCAGATGTCACAGATGGTTTTAGTTGTATGGTGTATAAAAGAACCCGAAAACACGAGATGATATTAGCCTCCCAGTTGAAGGGATAATATTTCATTTTTCGCTAGTTATCATTTTCAGAAGCAGAGACAACAGCAGACATGCTTACATCACTACTTCAGAAGGTTTGCGAGGAAGCAAGGAAGGAAAGATACCTGCAGATTGAAAGAAGGGCTACCCTGTCAAACGCCTAAGGAAGGGAGACTTCAGGCTCTGCAAGAACTGACGAGGAATCATGCTCCTATCCACCTCAAGCAAAATATTAAGCCGCATCATCCTGGAAAGACTAAACGATGCACTGCATTCCAAATTACGACAGGAACACGCTGCATGGCTAGATTCAGGAAGAACAAATCATTTGAGGATCAAATTACAACACTACGCTTCACATCATCATCATCATCATCATAGAACAGAGTATAGAATGGCAGTCAACTCAACTCAACTCAACTCAACCTCAACTTCATCCACTTTGAAAAGGCCTTCGACAGCGTCGACTGAGAAGTAATTCGGCAGGCAGTTGCTTCAACACTACACACTACTGCAAACCATTATCAAGCTCATTCAACAGCTATATGAAAAGGCCACATACCAAGTGATCCACAATGGAGAGCTCAGTGATGCCTTTGGAGTGGAAGTGAAGACAGGAGTTGGACAAGACTGTCTACTACCACCGATGATATTCCTGATTGTGGTCGACTGGATCATGCAGCAGACAACTGTGAGGAGCGAGAAGATGGGCACACGCTGACTGCACCAATCAAAAGACCCTACAAGATTTGGATTTCGCCAATGATGATTCGCCTTTAGTGTCTTGTCGCACAAACTGGAAGATGTACACGCGGAAACTAACAAGTTGACAGAAGAGGTGTGTTGAGGCAGTGAAGAGAGATGGGACTTCAAGTGAATGCAGAGAAGAGACAGGTGATGAAGATACCCAACCAACAACAGCATCAACTACAAGAAGCAAACACCGTTGGTGAGAGAAACTTAGAGGAAGCAGTCTCCTTCACCTACTTACCACCGAGGCAGCATCGTTTCAACCACAGGCGCCACTGGCACACATGAGGATGTCAAAACCAGGATCGGAGAGACAACAAGACACGCATTCATTTATCCGAAATCACTGTGGAGATCTACTGCAGTCAGCACACAGCGTGAACAACATCCACATTTCCAACACCAATGTCAGTCAAGTCAGTGCTGCTGGTTGAGACTGGTTGAGAGACTTGGTGTGTCACGAGAAGCATTTCCAACAAACTACAGACATACATCAACAGTTGCCTACACTGGCTCGACACTGAAGATCAGATGACCACAATAGTGAGAATAGGCAACAAGGAACTCTGGAAATGAACCGACCAGGAACTTATTGTCCAACAAATATGGAGTGGAAGGAAGTGGAGATGGATTGGGCATAGAAACTGAGAAGGCCGACTGGGGACAACACGCGTGAGGCCAGGTCAGGCCGTTGAATGAAATGCAAAGGGAAGCGATGAGTTTGGCGTCGGTGGTGAGAGTGACATGGAGGAGATGGTGTGAGGTGAGGAATAGATGAAAGCTTGTGGGTAGTTGTGGAGCGAGGTTGAAAAGACTGTAGAGAGTAGAGTGGAATGGAGGCGTGCTACTGAATAGGTATATTCCACTAGGAACCAGAGGGAAAATTGATAACAATAATAGTTTCTCATTTTATCCTCTGACTCAATAGCTCGTTTAGTAGGTTAGTTGAGATGTTTTCAAGTGAGACTGCAGAAAAATGTCATACTCCACTGATATATACTTGTATAGTTCAATTGTTAAGCATTAATGATCACTATGAACAGAACACAAAGTCAAACATCATCATAATGCATACTACTACTCTGTATGTGTGTGTCTGTGTGTCATAATTTATTTAGGAATGCGATAAACATATTTATGCAAACAGTCAAGAGTTGAAAAACGCACGAAAGGTTAGTATTTTCTTGCTATCTATATATACCACCTACCCCCCCCCCCTCACCCCGTATCGTCTTTCTTCCCTCACTTTTATGTCAATTATATGTTGTTGTCGAATTTTCTGATTTTCACAAATATATTCGGTTATTTTTTAAATCTCTGTGTATGTATGTGTGTCTATGTGTTTCCAAGTGTTTTACAGTTATCAACTAAAAAAAATGTGTAAACCATATTGTTTTTTTAGTGAAAAATTGTTTAATAGCTATGTATACTGCACGATTGCATGATTAATCTCCACTTAAATCATATTCGTATTAGTGATTGTTTTCACAAAAAAGAACCTTGTGGTTATGTTTACTCCTAGGAAATTGTAACGCCTTGTGTGGTCGGTACTCAACATATATCCATTACTTCATGAAGCGTTTGTTGATTATTATTATTATTATTATTACTAGTCTCTTGGGTTCCTAATGGAACATACGGCTTCACTAGCACATCTCCAGTGACCTCTGTTCTCTGAGATCTTTTCAACCCGGTTCCACGACAGCTCACAAGCTCGCATTCCCTCCTCACACCATCTCCTCCATGTCACCCTCACCACGGGCACCCAACTCGTCGCTTCTCATGGGGATTCCACTCGAGCAACTGGCCGGACGCATGATGTCCCCAGTCGGCCTTCTCAGTGCATGCCCAATCCATCTCCATTTCCTTCTGCATATTTGTTGAGTGGTAGGTTCTTGGTTGGTTCTTCAGCAGCCAGAGCTCCTTGTTGCTTATTCTTTCTGGCAATCCATCTGATCTTCAGTAACGAGCCCGCGTAGGCAGGTGTTGATGAATGTCTGTAGTTTGTTGGAAATCCCTTTCGTAACGCGCCAAGTCTCTCAACCCTCACACAGAAGCACTGACTTGACTGGATTGGTGTTGAAAATCCGGATTTTGTTCCGCATGCTGAGTGTAGAAGATCTCCACACTGGTTTCAGGTTAATCAACGCCTGTCTTGCTTATCCCATTCTGACTTTGACTTCCTCGTCTGTCCCGCCTGTAGTTGAAACAGTGCTGCCTAGGAGGGTGGGTGAAAGAGGTTACTTCCTTTAAGTTTCTCCCGTTGATGGTGATTGGTTCTTGTTCTTGTTGTTGGGGTTGTTGGTGTGGTATCTTCGTCACCTCTGTCTTCTCTATATTCACTTGAAGTCCCGTCTTCGCTGCCTTGCCCTGCCTCTTCTGCCAACTTGTTAGTTTTCGCCTGTAGATCTTCAAGTTCATGTGATATCAGACACAAGTCATCGTTGGCGAAATCCAAGTCTTCTAGGTTCTTTTCCGCAGTCCAGCCAGCGTATCCTCTTCTTCTCACAGCTCTCCACTGTTTGCTGCATGATCCAGTCGACCACAATCAGGAATATCATGGGTGATAGTAGGCAACCTTGTTTCACTCCTATCTTCACTTCAAAAGCATCACTGAGCTTCCCATTGTAGTCCATTTTATTAAAGTTGCCTTAAAACATCCATGTACACTTAAATTGTTTTTCAAATCCTGTTGAGAAATTTCAGAAAACAGCTACTTCAAAATAAAAACAAGACATGATTTATGAAAAGAAATATAGTCGCTTAAATTTTGTATTAAAAATTAAACTACTTTTATTATGTAAGTAGTGAACGTTTTAACACAAAAATTGCTAGGGCTTTTCATTCACTTAAGATGTAGTGGCGGATAAAAGGAAGATAGATTTTATGCACGTAAACACTGTATATAAAAAGGAATCCATTTTACCACTGAAAATAAAAGTCTACATATCCATTAACTATGGTTCAACTACTATTGTTGTCTATGTATATCCTTATCATAAATCAGGCAAAGGAGTTGGTAGCAGCAGTTATAGCAGATTCTGTCCTTGCAAATCAATTGTCCTATCAAGAGACGTATTGGGCATCTGAAATCCATAGTGGACCTGCAATTAGCCAACCACCGTTGAATATAAACTATCGACAAAGCTATCAGACAAGAAGTGAACAGTCAACACCACGACAAGTGGTTAGATCACAAAGTCAAATGACGAATAACAGTGGAGTGAAGCCTTTTATGACGCCAGATTTGCGCTATAGACCAGTCTCATCACCAAGACCAAGCAGGCCAAATAATCCGCCTATTCTATCCCCAATGGATCAACAAATACAGGATAGAATGACCTCTGAAAAAGATATAAGGACTCGTAGATTGGATATGGTGAATTCAGTAAAATTGGACAACAAGCATTCAGACTATGATAATGATCACTTCGTCGGAGGTTATACAGAGGTGAGGTGATGCGGTGATAAACACTTAACCAAAACAAAAAAAAGGCTGAAGTCACAGTAATTTTAGTTCCATTCAGTTTTGCATTCATACAAGCTGCTTAAAGCTTAATTATCCTAGCGAAACTCACAATTTGCTGTAAAGTTGTTCTGAGCTTCTTACTCGGCTTACTTTTTTTGTTAGATTCCTTCTCTTTCTGCCTCTTCTCTGCTGCCCCCTTACCGCTTACTATACACTATGCACTAATCAAAACGTTTAATAGATTGATTGTTGTATACACAGGTGGGTTTTAGTACACCATTTGAATATGGTGAATAATTTGAGTTGCCTTGTTATATTAATTGTATATGTGTATGTATGTGCGTTATGTACCTTCATATATTGCTCTGTTTAGTGTGTGTGGAATGCACCAACGAAAATGTATTGACTAACGAATTTATCTGACCTAGTTTCTATGTGATTTTATAAACCAAGTCTACCCTAACCCAATCCATTAATCAAACTAACTGATTTTCATGAATGTAATCCCTTCTGATGTGAACTATGCCTCACTTCACTTTCATTGCTTCAAATTATCCAATGAAATCTTGTATGTAACAGAATATAGCTTCGAGAAGTATTCCCGAAGTTCCAATGAGAAGTCATGGAGTCAAAGCCTGATGGTCATGAGGACAGATACTCAACGATGACATTGGGTGGCGGTTGCGCTATATCGTGAGCTAACAGAAGTTGGAAATATGGAGCATTGGGTCCTGACCCAGTGGCTCAATGGTAACGAGCTGGCCACGAAACCTGACGGTCACGAGTGCTATCCCTGGTGGGGTGGGGTCATAGGTGTTCGCTGCCGAGGAGTCCCACACTAGACGAAGCAGCTGTCCAGTGCTCCTAGATTTCCTTTGTCCCTCCAACTGATGTCAGTCTAGGATGAATAACAACTTGAAATATAACACATCTGTTTAATTGGGCTAGTTTCATACCGGATATCCTTCATATCGCTCGGGAATCATCACCTGCTTCAGGTGGGATGATATGACAATTTCTCATAGAGAATAACTTATTAAAACCTTCATAGACCTACTGAGGTGTGTCATTGATATTTGCCATGGCAACAGATGGAAGGTATACAATTTTCGATAAAGTGCGGACATTTCATTGCGTTCCTGCACACTATCCTATAGTTTTTACTAGCAATGAAGTCAACCTTAAGACATACACATCCTCGAATGAATAGTCCATTTTAAGCCACGCTTAACCCGGGTTTCGTACATGTCGGCACTCATCAGTAAGGCATATACTCAACCTCTAAAGAACTGATGGCTTTTCTGAGGTCAGAAACCGTGTCACTAAGTACTACGATCAGAAACGTAACTACTGAACTGTTCGGATGACAATTAATCTCCTGTAGGACGGGATCACCTAGACTAATTGACTACTGTTGCCTTTCATTTGAATACTAACGCATAGCTAACCGGTGTTTACTGTCTCGTATTCTTACCAGTTGCTTATAACTTTATTATTTACTAACACCTCTCATTAATTTCTTGTGTATTAATATTATTATTCGAAAATATTGATTTATTACATAATCTTCAAATATCAGCTGAAATTCTAACTGAATTTCACAGTGCCACAGTTCATACACCCTTGAGGATTGTCAAATTACTTTGAGGCTAATGGAGGTTTCATTTTTAGTGTAATATTCATCATAGACTGATGTATTAGAACCATTAAAAAACTGGGAGGCCTAAACTATAGCTGTTTCGTCCACGTATTAGGTCTCCTCAGCTGTAGTCGGATAAGTTGACAGAAGTAGGAGACTATGGATCATTGAAACTGGACCCAGTGACCTTGCCATGCAGCCATAGGGTCCTAAGTTTGATAGATATTTACTGCCAAGGAGTCGCATACGAGGGCGAAACAGCTGTTTAGTGCTGTCAGGTTTTCATTGGTTCTTCAAGTGATATCAATCCTTGATGAATGCCACCATTAAAGATAGTCAACATCTTAATGTTCCCTCCCTATTTTATGTTATGTCAGTGCCATTCTGTATATGTAAGCTGAGTGAATCTGAATGGCATCTGTCTAGGAGACTTTGAGTTCTACCTCTAGTCATACGGTGAGCACCACAGGTAACCAAGAAGCTGGTGGAATGCCAATAGGAATGACTGATGTTTTGTTATTCAAAGTAGTGTAAAATATTATTGATTGGTGAACTGTGTGTTGACACTGAATAACTGGATCCTGAAAAAATGTCAGTTACTAGTTATTTATCATATCGGCCTCAACTTAGTGGAGTTATTTCGGTTCTCATCTGAATGTTGGCTAGAAGTGATGATTAACAGTATGTAAAAACATGCACTTTGGCCAACATCGCCCCCACCACTTTTGTAGATATCTAACTGCTGGACGGTATTTCAGCTGACATGGAACCAAACTTACCAGCTCTTGGCTTAGTTCTCACTCATTCTGACAACTTGAATACATTCAAACCACCCTATAATCGCATATTCACAGTTTGAAATGAAAGAGATACAATAACATGCAATGAATACATGAAACTTTGGCTATAATTTCAAAGAGAAACCGAAAACATGGTTTACTCGTTTTCAACTAAAATTTCCACTACATTTAGATGGTATGAATAGTTATTAGTTGTGCAGCTTACAGATTGTTCTTTGAACAACTTATGTAACAAGCAGACAGTTTTGCTAGTACTGATGGATAGTGAATAGCAGTGAAATCCAAAACACGCGTTCCATTCTATTTGCGACTCACTTGTCTCCTCGATGTACCTGCCTCCTAGTGAATAATGTTTTTCCCGCTGAGACACGAACACAGGACCGATGACTTCAAATATCCAACCGACTACTAAGTTACAATAGCCGTTCCTTCTGAGATGCATAGAATATAGCTTAGTGGCTAACTCTTCAGTGTCAGAAGTGATTGGCCTCACTATCTGAGAGTCAGTTACATCCAATTGACGACTCCACTGCTAACCAATATTTACGAATAGTAGTAAAAGTGAAAAGAAAGGCAATGCCGAGGTATCAGGTTGGTATTCAACTAGTGCACTGGACCTCTGTTTTGTCCTAATGTGGGACTGCTCAGCGGTTCACACCCATGACACCACCAGAGGCCGAACCCAGGACCTTTGCGTTCAGTGGTCAGTAAGTTACTTTTGATCCAAAGGGTCATCATGTAGTGGTCTGCGACGACCTCTGTCCAATACCATCCTTGAGCAACAATCCGTATGTTCGACTAGACTAATCCCACTGGTCACAACTCAATTGGACTTCAGGAATCTTCTCTCTAAGCTAGTCACCAATGAGTATTGGATTAATTCGATTTTGGAATTTGTGGGGATTTAGCTATTGATTTCAGGTTGGTGACTACCTTCAAGAGGTGATTATCGAAGTTCCCATAAGAAGTTATGACCAGTGGAGCCAACCGATTGGAGCATGATGACAGCTTCTGAACGACGGAACTGGATGGAGGTCGTACTGGCTAAATGGTAACGTGTTAGAAGCGGAAGCTTAATATCATGGGTTCGATTTTCAGCTGAGTCATGAGTACGCACTGCTACCAGGATGATGCAGGTTCCCAATGTTTTTCTAAATGATGTCAGTCCACGACGAATGCCAACCTGAGATCAATAACTAATTCTCTATAAACTCCGAAATCGATTGTTGAGTTAGGAGCCTACATACCAATAATGGCTGGTCCTTCCATCCATCCAAATCAACATACGATCGAGCATTACTGCGTAACAGTCCAGCTGGCCACATCTCATATCAGTACATCAAGTAGGAAGGCAGTGAAGTGGAAGATGAAGGAAAGAGGATCCAGCTCCATGTGGCTCAAGCCATGCATTGATGTCACATTTTAGTGTGACCACCTCGGGCCTTTTTCGAACCTGAACCTACTTCGACCAACATTGTGTGACGAGGCAGACGGTGGCTAGGCACACGTAACACATGTTGCAGCCAACCATCTCAGTCACTGAAGGTACACAACCGTGTCAACTGACTTACCTCTTCTCCCTAAAACTCTACGCCTGAGTCTGACTTTTGGGTTACTAACCTGGTGACACCACTTGCGTCGATTGGGTCAAGTTGGTCTAATCAGCGTTCGATACATATTCAACTGTTAACACATTTAGCCTATCCACAATCTTTCCTACCTTTTTTTCACTACACAATCTGCATAACTCTGCCGAAAAAAACACTAGAAATTCACACTGTAACTCACACGTAGCCGAAAACGTTCATAAAGCAATTTTTAATTTAGTTTGTGATTTGGTTTCATTTTATTTCAGCAAATTATTATTATTTATATTGGTTTTTTCCACACTAGCAACATACTACTGAATTGCACAGTTATCAGTAGTTTGTAAATATCATGCATTATGAAGTTAGTGTATGTTAAATTATCTCTGGTAACACATAGACTAGATACATTTAAACTTACTCATAAGAGTTAAACTCAGTAGAGATATCCGCTTCCTCACAGTTACTTCCGGATTCCGTTTTAATTACCATAACAATCATCATGGTATACTTATTCTTGTTTCCTGAATTTTATTTTGACTGACCCCTAGGTTGAGTTTTCACCGAGAACGATTACGTGGAACTCTGAGTTATTGGTTTCGAGAGTTGACATGTAGTCAGCGTATCAGGAGTTCAAATGCCGCTTGAGTAGTAGCAGTGGCTTTAATACGTAAAGTCTCTGGAGTACACCCCTACTCAAACACAAAGGCTGTTACGATATCAGTCTGAGCACCATCACCTTCAGTGCATCTTTACAAGAAATTGAAAGTGGTCTGTGTTTTATTAGTGTTTCAAAGATAATCTCTCTTGATCTGGTTACCAACAAGAAGGCAATTGATCTACCTTCCTTCGTCTGATAACCTGGATTCATTGAGTGTTGATCGTAAGCAATGACGCCTTATCATTCTCTTTGACTTGCTGACACTGTGTATGATGCCTGCGAAAATAAACTCGAAAATATGTCAGTTGTGCAGGGGTAGGGGAAAAAATAATATTGTTATCATTAATTTTTCCCTCTGGTTCCTAGTGGAATATACCTATTCAGTAGCACGCCTCCATTCCACTCTACTCTCTACAGTCTTTTCAACCTCGCTCCACAACTACCCACAAGCTTTCATTTATTCCTCACCTCACACCATCTCCTCCATGTCACTCTCACCACCGACGCCAAACTCATCGCTTCTCTTTGCATTCCACTCAACGGCCTGACCTGGCCTCACGCGTGATATCCCCAGTCAGCCTTCTCAGTTTCTATGCCCAATCCATCTCCACTTCCTTCCACTCCATATTTGTTGGACAATAAGTTCCTGGTCGGTTCATTTCCAGAGTTCCTTGTTGCCTATTCTCACTATTGTGGTCATCTGATCTTCAGTGTCGAGCCAGTGTAGGCAACTGTTGATGTATGTCTGTAGTTTGTTGGAAATGCTTCTCGTGACACACCAAGTCTCTCAACCAGTCTCAACCAGCAGCACTGACTTGACTGACATTGGTGTTGGAAATGTGGATGTTGTTCACGCTGTGTGCTGACTGCAGTAGATCTCCACAGTGATTTCGGATAAATGAATGCGTGTCTTGTTGTCTCTCCGATCCTGGTTTTGACATCCTCATGTGTGCCAGTGGCGCCTGTGGTTGAAACGATGCTGCCTCGGTGGTAAGTAGGTGAAGGAGACTGCTTCCTCTAAGTTTCTCTCACCAACGGTGTTTGCTTCTTGTAGTTGATGCTGTTGTTGGTTGGGTATCTTCATCACCTGTCTCTTCTCTGCATTCACTTGAAGTCCCATCTCTCTTCACTGCCTCAACACACCTCTTCTGTCAACTTGTTAGTTTCCGCGTGTACATCTTCCAGTTTGTGCGACAAGACACTAAAGGCGAATCATCATTGGCGAAATCCAAATCTTGTAGGGTCTTTTGATCGGTGCAGTCAGCGTGTGCCCATCTTCTCGCTCCTCACAGTTGTCTGCTGCATGATCCAGTCGACCACAATCAGGAATATCATTGGTGATAGTAGACAGTCTTGTCCAACTCCCATCTTCACTTCCACTCGAAAGGCATCACTGAGCTCTCCATTGTGGATCACTTGGTATGTGGCCTTTTCATATAGCTGTTGAATGAGCTTGATAATGGTTTGCAGTAGTGTGTAGTGTTGAAGCAACTGCCTGCCGAATTACTTCTCAGTCGACGCTGTCGAAGGCCTTTTCAAAGTGGATGAAGTTGAGGTTGAGTTGAGTTGACTGCCATTCTATACTCTGTTCTATGATGATGATGATGATGTGAAGGGTAGTGTTGTAATTTGATCCGTACATGATTTGTTCTTCCTGAATCTAGCCATGCAGCGTGTTCCTGTCGTAATTTGGAATGCAGTGCATCGTTTAGTCTTTCCAGGATGATGCGGCTTAATATTTTGCTTGAGGTGGATAGGATCATGATTCCTCGTCAGTTCTTGCAAAGGGGAGAAAATAGGAGCTCAGTTAGATAAACAACCATATCCCTTTTTTCCACCTCGGTCAAAATGAGCACGTGTTATTTTATCTAGGCGACTAGACACAAGTTTGTCTACAGGTCGATCAACTCCAATCCCCCATCTAGACTAATATTGAAATCTCTGTCCACTTATACCTAAGGTTGAAGAGCGGTAAAACTACGAAAGGGTCCATCATCTGAGTTAGCAGTGAGTGGCTCGGCTTTTGTCTTTGTTAGTATGTTTTCCCTTGTGGCGAGGCGGTAGAATAAACATCAATGCATGTATGTGTTTTGGGACCAGATACAACTAACCATTGTGAAAACGCTATTCGTTGTAACATTTATTGCCAAAGTGTCCTAATATGCCAACTTTTACGTTGGTGTTTTACACACTCTTTCTCAAGTGTTTGAGAATGTGGATTTTCTCCTAACTGTACCACACTTAGCCGATTAAAACAAACTGAAAACATCGATTGATCGCTGCAGGATGACTAATATCATGTTGTCTAGTTCTGATGGCTTCCTACCGATAATTTCCTATGATTTAACATTGATCACAGTGCACCGCCATGCTCAGTCTCTCAACTTGACAACTAAATTACAGTGGTCAGTTATGACTAGAATATTTCAGTGCTAATATCTCCAACTGCTGCAGACGGTCCGAACCCCGGATGGAATACCAGTTCCTTCGTGGTTGTGTCAGTAAGCACACAACCGATATCAAGCAAGGCTTTCTACTGGTTACCCCGAGCATGCAGCAGAAAAGTGAAGACAATCAAAAAACCATATTAAATGTAGACGGTTGGAGCTATCTCAACATGCTATCCTGCAGATTAACTTCCAACATCCCACCGCAATAATACTCCACCACAGTGGTATTCCAGCCGAACTAGGGAAGAAATTGAGTTCCTAGTTCGTAGAATAGCTTACCATTTAATGTCGTTTCACCAGAGGGTAATGGTGTCCAGATAATACTACTGCTTACTTCAGGTTCCAGTCTCTGTAAGAACATAAGCTCCCTCAATAGTCCTGAAACTTGTGTCTGTAACTCCTCACATACTTGCTGACCAGGCTGAGATCAGTAGTTGGTATTTCACGGTTTATCCACTTTGTCTAGCCTAGGATTGGTTTTCAGTCTACAGACCTCGTCACAATGTACGGTTAAATGAATGCCTGTCGTTCACCCGCGGCCCAGTGCGCAACTCTATACCACTTGGGGTGATGGGTGCCGTGGTTCGGACCCCGGCGAAGACGGGTACCTTCAGTTTATGAGTCCCAAAGAGACCAAGGCTCACATCCTGGATTACATCTAAAGTCACTAAGATAAGTTTGGGGTTTAAGTTGATGGTATAATCTAAAAGAAGTGTAACACTTTGCTGAAGGTTCTAATATACTTCATTAAATGATCTTCACCCCACCACCAACTCCCAATCTTGTCTCAATTCATTTATCCCCCTGTTTATCTTTTACTTTGATAATGCTTTTGGTTTAGTGAAAGTCTATACTAATAAACAGTATCATATGCATGCATGTCCCTTATATATCTCCCTCCTTCTGACAGAATGAGTGTCTGACCATATGAAATATATTTTCGCATGTATATAGGCACGATGCGCTATATAACGAGTGTTATCATAACGCCTGCCAAGATAACTACTGAAATAATGAATTGAGTAGTATCCTAAAAGTTTAAGAAAATTTTAGTTTATCAATGAAATGACACCAAAGTTAATCATTTGATTACTATAATTTTAGTTATCATTATTATTTACCCTTATTGACAAAAATCCCAATATTATGTAACCTCATTCGTCTCTATATACTGTCTGAATTGCATCGATGTGTCGGAAAAAGCCTCAACCAGATCAATATCAACCGCACTATTCATATACAATGAAATCATCAGAGAGAAGAATTATGCCATATCATGTACCTGGTAGTCTGGATGGAAGATATCCACAGGAGTATGACGATGAATATTCACCTGAAACTCGAAGAATACAAACAATGCGAGTAAGAAAAAGTGGTTTCGAAAACTACTGACAAAACTTGTTTAATTAGTAGTTTTATGCATTAATATTTCGGATAAATTCTATTATTTGTGCTGAAGCAATTTAGAGAAAGGTATTTTTCAAGGTATCCACCTGGTAACCACTTTTGGTATGTCTATACATGTGTGATGAAGGTCAATCTCGTTTCACAGTGAATAATGTTGTGTTTTAGGAAACAGTCAATGGGACTCCCTAAAATAGCAAGACTTCAAATGTGTTAACCTTCATAGGCAAAAAAACTGCCTTGAAGCTAACTGATAAGTCTTTTATGCATCAATATACCCAATGCTGTGAAGCATTTTAAGTGGACAGAGGAATGACAATCGATTATCACCTAACACAACAATCAATTATAGTATCGAATTACCTATTTTGGCAACAACTCTTCACAGTATGCCTGAAAAGGTATAACCAGCACTTAGGATCATAGCAGCCTACTTACTGATTGACCGTATATGTCAAGAATAACCATCACCAATCTCTGCATTTTGCATGGAATAGTATTCAGATGAACAGTTGAACATCGCCGAAAAAATCATAAAACAAAATTGCACTACTGTTTTATGATAAGTAGTACGTTTTATCTATAAAAAATAAATTCACAATGCACGTTTACATCTCGCCATCACTATTTTTAAGTTTCGGTAATTTTGCTAGAAATATTAGCAAGACTTTAGAAATCTGATCAAAGCCTGTGAAGATTCATATTAAGCTTATTTATCATAAATCGATTGATTCCACAATGAATCTTATTTTTAGAATGAAGAAACATTTTTCAATAGCATTTTTCTCATTTCAAGGCATTGCTACTTGGTTTGGTCAGGGTTATTTGTTGAAATTTGTAATTCCCCATACGGGATAGGAGTTTCAGTGGTAATGATATCACTGACTGGGGTGCAGCTACTTCCAGATGATGAGTCTCAAACAGAACGAAACGTGAATTCTGGATTCAACTGTTAGCCACAACTCCTTGAAATTTATTCAGTCCTGACTAACTGCATCATTGTCAATAGCTGGTTACATCTGCATATGTGGTGGTTTTAAGTAGGATTCAAATTCACCATCTATCACTTCATAATATGAGGATGTTATGCACATGGTTACTGAATCAAAAGATTTTCTCACCACTTGTCCAATTTTTTTTTATTTTTTATATTTTGTTTGTGCTTTGAGATTTCTTTGGCGGTTGGATTAGTTTTACAGGGTAGGGTTGCTAGTCCTACGCCCAACCTCCCCTCTTTACGCGGGCTTAGGATCGGTTAGTAACTAGTGAACTAGTTAACCGGGCGAGGTTAAGTGGTGGGGGCACCCGGGTTTTGACACCAGGCCTTTCGGTCTACAGTCCATAGCTCTACCACTGGACGGAAGTGGAGATGGGTCGAAAAGTCTTCAGAGAACAGAGTATACTGGAGACGTGCTAGTGAAGCCCTATATTCCACTAGGAACTCAAGGGACAAATAATAATAATAATTGAATTTTTGAGGGAGTTGTGGAGATTTTGGAAATATTTCAAGTTGTTATTCATCGTAGGCTGATATCAGTTGGAGGAACAAAGGGAATCCGGGAGCAGTGGTTAGCTGTTTCGTCCTAGTATGGGACTCTTCAGCAGTGCGCACCCACTACCCCACCCCACCAAGGATTGCATCCGCGACCCTCAGGTTCCGCGGCCAGCGCGTTACCATTGAGCTACTGGATCAGAACCCAATGCTCCATATTTCCAACTTCCAGTTGGTGGCAGGTACTAAGTAAGATCTAACTAGCACATCGTAATTCACTGCCAAGTAGTTGACATTCGATGGATAGTCTTGACAAGGATATTAGTGCTTGTGGGTGGGGGTGGGAGGGGGGGTCGACCCATCCGATCCTACCTAGTGAACAGTGTGTAATAATATGCAAAACCTATCATAAGAGTGGGCTTAACCATTTAGGAGTTTACAAAATAGAATAACTGATGCAGATCATGGCTGAAACCAGTTATTTCTGACTGTTATACATTCAAGTATATTCATACATATTCTAAATAGAAAAGATTACAGGTTTAAGTTTGAAAACAAATGAAAAGGATAGATAAATGAACTCAAGGAAAAAAGTTAGTGCCTCTGAAGTGAGGTAAAATATTTATCAGAACTATACAGAAACTTAAAGGAAGTAGCCTCTTTCACCCACCCTCCTAGGCAGCATTGTTTCAACTACAGACGGCGACACTGACAAGGACGTCGAAGCCATCCGGAATTGAAAAAGAAAGACAGGTGTTCATTAGCCTGAAACCAGTGTGGAGATCTTCTGCACTCAACATATGGAACAACATCAGGATTTTCTACGCCAACGTCAAGTCAGTACTTCTGTATGCCTCAGAGACTTAGTGTGTTACGAAAGGGATTTCCAACAAACTACAGACACGTATCATCAACAACTGTCTACGCTGACTCGTTACTGAAGATCAGATGGCAAGAATAAACAATAAGAATAAGCAAGAAGGAACTCTGGCTGGCTGGCAACGAACCAACGGAGAATCTATCGCTGAACAAATATACAGTGGAAGGAAGTGGAGATGGATTGGGCATACACTGAGAAGACCATTCAGGGACATCACACGCCAGGCCAGGCCCTCGAGTGGAATCCCCATGGGAAGCAGTGAGTTGGCATCCGAGGCGGTGGTGACATGGAGGAGATGGTATGAGGAAGAAATGAGAGCTTGTGGGTTGTCGTGGCACCAGGTTCAATAGTTTGCAGAGAACAGAGTGCACTGGAGACGTGCCAGTGAAGCCCTATGTTCCATTAGGAACCCAAGGGACTAATAATAATAATACAGAACAGTAGTAGTCATGCTCACTATATCAATTCAAAAGGCATACACAACAGATATAACTCATGAATTCAGTGATACCATAATCAAAGATAATACTATGCAGAAAATAGATACATTAGCCGCTTCATCTAGAGAACTATACTTCAATTAGATGTTTGTGAATCTTAACACAGTTTTGTAACAAAAAACATAAAAGAGAACATAGTTTAATAAGAAGTCTGCTAAACGGAAAGGTTCTTCTCTGACAGTTCTAAAATATGTGTGTCTATGTGTCAGGGTTTCCTTTCTCATTCTTTCCTATGACCGTGTGACCACCTGATGATTCTAACTGTTAGACATCTCACTTTCTGAAGATATGACTTCTACATTAGGAGAAAAACTTGAGAAACGTAAACCATTACCTGATTGAGACTATACAAATGAGTATTTCCTTGGGTTCGTTTTTGGTGTTCATCATGGACTGACACTAGTTGTCAACAGTGGGTACTCATGACCCTCAGAATCCAGGACTTTCAGGTTTCGCGGTCATTACGTTACAACTCAGCCACTGGATTGGCGTCCTATGGTCCACATTTCATTATTCTGTCAATTCATGACATAGTATAACCTCTATCTAACTTCAGTCCTCATATCTCACTTAGATGGCCCCACCGGTAATGACTTCTCATTAGAACTTTGGGAATCTCAACCCCTAGGAGGATTAAGGTTCTGAGATGTTCAAGCATTCCATACTAGGATGAAACAGCTGTCTATTTCTTCCGGATTTCAAATGATGTCAGCCTGTGATGAATATCAACCCTTTAAACCTCTTAAATGAATATTTTTTTTGTTACACAGACTATCGACACAATGTTCAATTTACGTATAATGCACTTTTGATGGGTTTTACTAGAATCTAAGCCTTTTCGTCAAGTTGTACTTCCTCTGTTTTTCGCCATATTAGAACATTTTCTAAGGCTAAACTGGTCGCTATTCAGGCAGACGGAGAAAAGTTCAGAGTACCTTGTGTTCACTCATGATTATGATTATTATTAGTCCCTTGGGTTCCTAGTGGAACATAGGGCTTCAGTAGCACGTCTCCACTGAACTCTGTTCTCTGAGATCTTTTCAACCTGGTTCCACGACAGCCCAGAAACTCTCATTTCCTCCTCGCACGATCTCTTCCATGTCACCCTCGGACGTCCAACTCGTCGCTTCCCATGGGGATACCACTCGAAGGCCTGACGCGTGATGTCCCCAGTCGGCCTTCTTAGTGCATGCCCAATCCATCTCCACTTCCTCCTGCATATTTGTTGCGTGACAGCTTCTTGGTCGGTTCGTTCCCAAAGCTCCTTGTGGCTTATTCTTTCTAGCCATCATGATAAACTAGGTATTCACTCAAACACGTGAAAAATATACAGGGTCAAAAGATCACATCGCAGAATAAGGACAGTGATGAATTACTAGACTGATATAGTTCATCATTTGTTGCTTTCTACTCTCATCTACAGGATAAATTTCGGCTTATCTGCTCACATGCTTTTGCAACAACTTGAACTCCTCTGGCTGTATCTCAGTCTCGATATTCAAATCTAGAAGTATCTGTTCAACTCTATAAATCACTCAAGTCGAGATTTAAAATCTCTTCAGTATCCTTAAAATTGCCTGATGGGTAGCCCTGCATGACCAGGGTTTCGTATTTTTGGTATTCTTCAGCAAGGTATACCTCCAACCTCAAGGGAAATGACCTCCTGCGTCACTCCGTATAGCTGTCAACTCCGTTTCTCGAGTACTTTATTTCTGAACAGTGGGATGATTCTTTGATTTCAAGCTGACTGATGTTTCTATATGTTTTAATAGCCTAGTAACCTACAGTATGTCTACAGCCTGTTCACTGACCTCACTGAATGTTTAGTTTCAATTTGGAAGCTTGTAGGGATTTTATTGATTTCGGGTATTTATCATGGACTGACCACAAGATCATGAAGAGGAGCAGATTTGGGTTCATACCACTCACTGTCTAGTGTAAGGAACCTGCCTTCAAAATCAAGTTGAAAGCCTTCAAAGAAGCTGGTGATAGACGACCACAGTTCAAGTTCAACACCCAGAAACTGGACATGAAAGACGAAACTACAAAGGATATCTTCACGTCAACCATCAGGACGAAACGGGAG